TGGACAGCGGAGGGGGAGGGGAGAGCTCCAAGGGAAAACCGGGCAGGAAGCAGGCAGAGGCCCTGGGTGTAGTCAGCCACGGCGCAGGCTTGTCTCCCGTGGGCGACTCCAGACCCTCTCTGGGCCGTGCTTTGCCACGTCTCCAACTTGGAGAAAACATGGTAACTTCCTCAGATGAGGTTCGCAGGGAGACAGCTGAGGGTGGTTATGTCAGCGGGTGGCTCTCAGAAACGCAGAGCGCGAGGGAGGCAGGACTGGGCAGTGGGAGAGTGAACGGATGAGGACTCACAGCAAGCTCACCTCACTCCACAGGGATGTCTCTACAGCGGGGTCTTCAGCTTGTCCTGTGGCGACAAAGGAGCAGGCGTCTGCACCCCCACATCAGCCACTCACTGGATGCCCCTCCCACAGAGCAGACACAGCGCTGAACAAGGCAACTCCCTTCACCTGAGACAGCCCTGGGCGGCAGCAGCTGAAGCCATCAGCCAGCACGAAGGCCCACAGCTGGGGGAACAGAGGCTTTGGGGGTGGGGTAAGGGGTAAGGGGTAAGGGGTAAGGGCGGTGCATGCACACAACACCCACCGCACACACCCCTTGCACCAGGGGGTGCAGGTACTTCGTACACAAGTACACCCCACCTGGGAACAGCTCCTCCGGATTCTGGTTCGTCTCCCTTCCTGGGAAAACCGACAAGCAGAGGGTTAGTGAATAGACTACAGCCCCACCACTGCACTGGTCCTGAGGCACCGCTGATACCTTCCTGCCCTGCTGCACCTTCCATTCTCCACCCTCAGCCTCTGCTGGTCTAAGTGCCTGCCTCTGGGGGTCTGAGACCAGGTCCCTGTGCCCTTCTCTGGCTATTGTTGCACTAGGACCATTTCCAGTCAAAACTGGGCAACTGGATACCAATAGATGACCCAGTGGGTCACGTGGGCACCACAGGAATTCGTCCCTATTGTGTAGCAGCATCCCTATTTTTTCTGATGCTTAATTGTGCCTGCCAGAGGGGCACTCCCTTCTTTACCTTTGGCATATATTCCTACAGTGACCGGGTAGTGGCTGTAGCTGAGAGCTGAAAGGAATTCTCCCTGAAAGCTCTGTGGGAGGCATTTCCCCTCTGGGAACCAGGGCCTCTAGAGCCCAGAGCCTAGCATTGCAGAGATAAGGCCGACAAATGCTGGTACATGCTGCCTGGGTCCTACAGCTCCTTCGGTGTCTAGTCTCTTCCCACCCTTTGCAGGCCCAGCGTATCCTTGGGCGGGTGATGTCACAGCCTGTCCCTAATTACTGGTCAGCAGCCAAGAGGAGTTGGGGGGACTCCTAAGGGGAAGGTATTTCCTCACAAGGCAGAGCTCGCTGCATCATCTCCAAACGAGGCCGGCCAGCCTTCAGTAGGGAAGCGTGGGCTACATTTGCATGAGCCAAGGTCCAGGGGCCTCTGGGGTTTCAGGGTTCTTTAGTGCCCCCTCTCAGATGTCCCATCCCAGCCCAGAGGGTCCCACTTCTTCCCAACCAGGGCCCCTCCAGTGCTCAGCGACCCTTGTATTAAGTCTGGGATGGGCCTGCGGCATCTTGTGCTCTGTGGCTGCAGGAGATCGTTGTCCTTGAGAAGGCCTCTGAGTCCACACTTCACCTCAAATTGGTGATGAATCACCCTGACTCTTTCATTGTCTTTCTCCAGTGCACTGATTAGCAAGAGCAACCTACTTCCGTTGTCTTTTTGATTACTTCTCTTCCTGAACCTCTCAAACGCCTGAGCTGTTGTAGCTCTCAGTGATCCCTGTCCTTGTGTACCCCATTCCAGTTCCCCGTTGGTGAAAGCTGTAACAGTTGCATGGCTACAACACGCTAGGGGCTGTCCACACTCCATCTAGTGCCAGGGGTGGGGCCCTCGCTGCCAGCCAGCTGGCAGATGGCCTTCTTCTCAAAGCCCATTTCGGAGATGACTTTCTAGGACTACTCCTGGCACTGACATTGGCTTCCCAGGAAAGCGGACTCTAAGATGGGGATTTGCATTCTTGAGAACAGTATGTATCGGGAGAGAGTAGGATTGAGCAGAGGGAAAAACTGAACTGCAATGAAGTTGCCACTCAGCCAGTGTGGGTCAGTGATTGAGCGTCAACCTATGAACCAGGAGGTCATGGTTCATTTTCTTGTCAGGGCATTTGCCTGGGTTGCAGGCTCAGATTCTCGGTGTGGGATGTGAAGGAGGCAGGAGGCAGCTGATCAAAAAAAATAAAAGTTGCAACAGAGGCCCAGCTAATTCTTGGGGTGGAGTGGGGGGTGAAGGGGTGGAGATGTCTGGATCTGAGATGGCCCTTCAGAATTGTTTGAATTGAGGTGAGGAGGCCAGGCTTTGTTGTTCCCTCATTGACCAAGATGCCATTGGATATAGGCTGCCCTTGGGGCATTGACTAGACATGTGAGGCAGCTCCCTTCAGCTAAAAGCAATTCCTGGGGAAGGACTCACTCTGAGGCACCAGCAGGCGATAATTCTGGAGGCCGGGAGAATTAGCCCTCAGTTCTGAAGGCAGGGGTAGGGAGACAAATCCGGGGTGGACCTTGCCACTACATTTACCAGTGCTGTTCTGAAAATTTAATGAGATCATGAATATAGAAGGGCTTTAAATTTGTTCAACACTTTATAAATCCAAGTTATTTTTATTACTTCACAATTTTGACTTGATTTCACCCAAGCAAAGAATCAACTGCCATAGTCAGTAGGAAAAGATCTCTCTAATGACAGGTCAGACTGTCTCATGTTTTAGTTAAGTCGTTGGCCTTGCAACAATTCATCATCTTATCCTAAGACTCTAAATTCTTGGTAAGTTTTAGAAAAAACACCTCTAACTGAGCAGTTAGAAGAATCCAGGATTTTTCCTTTGGTGAGCAGTTTAGAATATCTGAAGGGTTAAATGCTAGTATCCTTGCAAAGTTGAAACAGAACCATAAGTTTAATATTATTTTAAAGTTAAAACGATTTAACATGACACCAAGCTTGAGTTAACATTCTACATGGTTGTGGAGATATTAGGGTTTAAACAGATGTCAGCAATTTTTTTTTTTACAAAACGGAAATTGAGTTCTACAGATGGTGAAGACTGAGGAGTTCAAAGTGTTGTATAAAAATGTACAGTCAAGTAGAAAGTTATCTTTATATTTCAAGTTTGAAGACACCCGATGGGTGATGAGGATAATTTTCAAGCTGATCAGACAGAAATCTATTTACCTTTCACTTCCATGCCATACTATTTTCCTCTGCTACATTTGTTAATTATGGAAAGTATTTGTGCAGCAACACAGGACTTCTCTCTTTCCCAGATCCCATCTTTATTCTAACTAATTTTTCTGTTAACATAATATTGTTCAACCCTCCTCATCATATTTTCCTTAGCAACAGACCATGGTAGCATAAAAAATTATCTCCTAGATTTTTATTATTTTCTCTATATATAGTTGGACTCCTATTAGAAAGCTGTGATTTTCATGAATTTTTAAAATTGACTTCAGAGAGAGAACGGTAGAAGGAGATAAAGATAAAAACATCAGTGATGAGAATCATTGATTGGCTGCCTCCTACATGCCCCTTACTGGGGATCAAGCCCACAACTTAGACATGTGCCCTAACCAGAAATCCAACCATGACCACCTGGTTCATGGATTGATACTCAGCCGGGCTTTCATGCATTTTTTAAATAGAGATCTTGCCAATTAAGTAAAAGTTTTTAAGGTTGTAAGAAAATTTGTAGGTATGTGAGTTTCACCCATTATCACCAGTTCTTTCAGTTATATCATTTGTACTCAAAGTATAAAATTTTCTATAAGTAATGAACTGGTGATTTTTAAATGTGGGCTTGCAAAAAATACATTATCTACGAAATCATCACTTCCTGTTTTCACCCAAACAACAAGATATTTTTTCCAAGTGTACAATCAATCTTGTGTACTTGAAACACTGATTGATAAAGTCTGAGCAAATGCATCTCAAAATGTCACTCAAACAAGAAGCAGAATTGAGAGACCCAACGGGGAACTGGAATGGGGTACACAAGGACAGGGATCACTGAGAGCTACAACAGCTCAGGCGTTTGAGAGGTTCAGGAAGAGAAGTAATCAAAAAGACAACGGAAGGAGGTTGCTCTTGCTGATCAGTGCACTGGAGAAAGACAATGAAAGAGTCAGGATGATTCATCACCAATTTGAGGCGAAGTGTGGACTCAGAGGCCTTCTCAAGGACAACGATCTCCTGCAGCCACAGAGCACAAGATGCCGCAGGCCCATCCCAGACTTAATACAAGGGTCGCTGAGCACTGGAGGGGCCCTGGTTGGGAAGAAGTGGGACCCTCTGGGCTGGGATGGGACATCTGAGAGGGGGCACTAAAGAACCCTGAAACCCCAGAGGCCCCTGGACCTTGGCTCATGCAAATGTAGCCCACGCTTCCCTACTGAAGGCTGGCCGGCCTCGTTTGGAGATGATGCAGTGAGCTCTGCCTTCCCCCTTAGGAGTCCCCCCAACTTAGCTGGGCTTTCATGCATTTTTTAAATAGAGATCTTGCCAATTAAGTAAAAGTTTTTAAGGTTGTAAGAAAATTTGTAGGTATGTGAGTTTCACCCATTATCACCAGTTCTTTCAGTTATATCATTTGTACTCAAAGTATAAAATTTTCTATAAGTAATGAACTGGTGATTTTTAAATGTGGGCTTGCAAAAAATACATTATCTACGAAATCATCACTTCCTGTTTTCACCCAAACAACAAGATATTTTTTCCAAGTGTACAATCAATCTTGTGTACTTGAAACACTGATTGATAAAGTCTGAGCAAATGCATCTCAAAATGTCACTCAAACAAGAAGCAGAATTGAGAGACTGGATAGAGGATGAGGAATTTCCTGAAATACACTGTGAGTTACACATGGGGTAGAGGACCCCTCTATTCAGATGCATGTTGGTTTCTAGCCTTGGTGCCTAAGACCTCGGGGAAAAGGGTGTTCTAGTGACAAACTATAGATCCTGGAGAATATCTGGTCTATTTTCAACAAGAGGAATTTAAGGTCTGAAAGATCTATGCATAAGAACTGCCACTGACTTCTCAACAACCTTACCTTCAAACACTACCATCCTCATTTACAACTGCCCATTACTATACCCAACCACCCTAGCCAGTCGATTCAGGAAGGACTTTCAGAGTCATGAAAGACTTGAGGTTATCTTTGGTGAATGCCTCTTTCAACCACTCCCAATGGGACCCATCTCGCTCTACCTATGTCTACTTAGAGAGTTCTATCATCTTGAATTTTTCTCTCTCTCTTGTTGCCTTATTGCCTTTATAGAATATTATTAGCTGCTTACTTTGGGGGTATATATCTCCCTCAACTATGCAGAGCAGCTGACCTTGCTTCCCTCCTCCCACCATCTTTTGAAAATCACCAGAATCGAATCCAATTCTTTAAGAAATGAGGGCTCTATTCTATTCTCCTTTACCATCGGCGTTCCAACAATGACAATGGCCACCTTTTATTTGTCTCACTCTAACATCACTCTTCCTCATACTGACCCTATAAGTTGAGTTTTAACTCAACTTTATGATCAGAAAACCAGAGACCCAGAAATTAAGTAACTTGCTCAATGTCACGAAGCTATGAAAGGACAGCTCTTAGGTTAGACTAGATTTTAT